GTGGGAACTGTAATGACCAGGGGGCCTCTGGCTTTAAAGGAAATGTTTTCCTCAGTGGGGTAATGCCCCCCAGTTCCACCAAATCACGTATGCCCAACTGAAAACACCCGTCAAAGCTTCCTGAAGTAATGTGAGGACTTGGGTTCCCTTTCTTTGTGTGTGTTTCTTTTTAAAGAATCTTAGCACAGAGAGGAATGGCCGGAGCAAGGGGTTTTTGTTGTTTGCTCAACGTGCCTGTGGGAGAGTGCGCAAAGGGGAAGGAAGAGATGTTCCCAGTGCTGGAGCAGAGCGTGATCTTGACTCGAGGCCTCAGAGATGGGCCTTGTCCTTCTGCACGGTGGAGAGGGGAATGGCCACTTCAGCATCTCCAGCAACAGCAGCTGTTCTGCTAAAGGTATTGGTAATCAGCTGGTTTTAAGTGACATTAACAAATCAGCTTGTCAGAAGAAAGGCATCTCTTCTGCTCTCTAAGGGACTGCGTTCTGCTCTTGAGCCTCTTTGTGTGCTTCTGAATGATTATGAAGTGTACTTGTGTCAACAAAGCCCCAGACTCCCCAACTCAGGGCAGCTTCATCTTCTGCCAGGCTCTGTCAGGTGAGTCAGAGCATCCATCCTCCTCATGCAAGCAGTGCATTGACCATGGGGCTGTGTCACTTCCCCAGCTCCCATAGCCACATGCCTTGTCTCTGCTGCGGCTCTGGGTTGGTGAGGAGCAAATCTCTGCCTGGAAAGACCCAGTGAGGCTGGCTGCCAGTGCTTTCCTGGGGTGCTCACGTCTAGCCTTGCTGCTGGTCAGACTGCAGCATGCTGTGTCAAGCACAGGAATGCACCTGATAAAGCAGAACTTATTAGAAAATCAAAGCGAATGCAGACAGAAAGCGTAGCTTGCCCAAAGTTTTCTGAAACTAAGCCCAGTCTTTGGTGTGGGAGCCTGCCTGGTGCTTCCAGAAGTGTTTCAGACCTCAAGTTTCCAGGCTGTCTGCAGTTTGGTACATACTACCACTGAAACCCACCTCCTTCACATACACTTTGAGCTCCCACCATGAGCAGCCCTTTAGCCAGCATGACCAAGCTGTTCCTGCTCAGCTGAATCATACTATTTCAGCCTTTGAGCCGGGACCATGTCTAGACAGTCAATTACTCTCTACTCTCCTGTCTCTTAAGAAACAAAGAAAGTGTCTTCTTTGACCTTGCATATATAATTATTTATCTTCCCTATAAATAATGGATTTCTTTGTTGCTGGTTGGTGCTGATTCATTAATATTTTGTTTCCTCCTTGTGTTCAAACATCTTTCCAATATCCTCCTGCACTAAAGCCTTATTCCTTTGTAGCTCTTTTCCCTCAGCTGATATTTCCAAATTTGTTGTAATTCCATTCATTTTAACTGTAGATCCTCTGCTGGCGATATCTGGGCTATCATGTCACCTCAGCTTAACCTCTGCTCACAAAGAATGGGATGATTTGCAGAGTTTCTCCCTGCTCACACTCAGAGAATCTCCTCTTTATGTCTGTCACCTTCATGTCAAGCATGTGCATCTCAGTTTTGCCATTTTATGCAGGGGAAAAGGGAAAATAGTGTGCAGAACTGCAGGGTGGGACCAGACCCTGGGGATGAGCATGCTTGTGTGTTTGTGGCAGGATCAGTATCCCATGGAACTCAAGTGAAGCTCACAGAGGCCCCCCCAGGCACTTCTCTAATTGAGGCGCTTAGTGTACATAATTAGCAAGGGCGTTAATCGTCCGTATTTAAGATCTCATCTTTCTCACTCTGCAAATTGATTGGTGCAGAGAAGAAAAAGCAGAGAAGCTGTCGGTCTCTCTCTGCAGACAGCTCACTGCACTTGAGGAAATAGTGTTTGAAAAGTGCAGTAAATTTGCTGTGATCTGCCCAACGGCACTACAGTGAAGGCAGAGCGTGAGACTGATGGCAGCCAGCAGCCTTTTGCAGGCAGGACAGGAATCCCTAGGAATCACTATGGGCTCATCCCACAAAACATTTTCCCCAGACAAAGCTGTCCACAGCCTGAGGTCATACTGGTTACGCCCTGACCACAGACCCCACTGAGGACTCAAGCACAGCACACACCCAGTGCCCATAGAACACCATTTGGGACAGCCCAGATAACCCATCCTCCCTGCGTTGTGCCTGGGAAATTATCCCTCTAGTCTCCATGTGGTCTTGAGGTTAAGAGCTAGCACCACTTCATGGAGTGAAGAAGCCAGTGCTGGGATGAAGAGGTTGAGGTGCAGGTCTCACCAGCCCTGCATGCTGCACAGCTCTTCACTGCAGGGTATGCAATGTACTCCAAACCATGCAGCCATTCACACCTGCTCACACCCTCCTTGCACTGCAGAAACCAGGAAATAGTCCCTTTGTGGTTGTTTGCAGCCATGCCGATGTCTTTTCCCACTGATGGGGTATTGCAAAATCACACAGAGCTGTTCTGTTCCCTGGGAGCTAAAAAAAAGCTCAATTTTTTTTCTTGACTTCACTGGGATCAGCAGGAGATCAACACTCAGAGCACCAGGGATGGCAGCCCTGTGATGCCAGTGAGTTGAGGCAGATCTTGAGCAGCCCCTTTGGCAGGTTTTCCAGCAGCAGGCTGCCCTCCCCACCTTGCCCTGCAGCCTCGTCCCATGCACAGCCCGCTTCTGCTGTTGTCAGACATTTGGCCTGGCAGCTCAGTGATGGGAAACAGAGTGTAGTAGACGAGTTGCTCAGGGGCACAGAGTCCAGGGCATGCGCCATGGGTTGGACATGGAACATGTGAGAGGGACTGTATGCACATCCTGCTGCCAGCCAGGCCACTTGCTGCCTTGGGAAATCATCTTTGTACTGTGTCTGCAACTGGCTCTCTGAAATGCAGATGTCTGCGTTGTTTATGGGAGACCCCAGTTGCAGATTTAAATTTCCTCAGATTTCAGGTATTTTGGATCTGTGGTTTGACCTCTTAATCAGAAGCAGGGACTGTTCTTTTAAGTGGAGAGCTGAGTTTACATGATAAATCTCATTTTCACGATGGTGGGAAGAAGCTGGATTCATCCAGTGCATTGACACAGTTTAGAATATGGCAAGCCGAGATTTCAAAAGCAGTTGGTTCCATGAGTTACAGAATTTTAAAAGCTCGGTTTGCTACAGATTTGTGTCCTCTCTCCTCTACAACCACACTGAAACAACCCCAGTTCCTCCACAATATCCCCTATGGGTTCCTCCACCACTTTGCAGCTCCAGCTCCTTTCCTAGTCCCCATTTCCATCTGATCTTCACTCATCTTCTGCCTCTTTACTACTGAAGCCTCACTTCTTTTCCACACTTCCATTTCCTCCATTCCAGCTTTCCCTAATACCTCCAGGACCTGCTGCCTTTGGAAATCCGACTGCAGAGTAAAAGCACAGAGAATCACTTTAGCTGGATCAAGACAGTATTTTTACAATTCTTGCAATTGTGGCAGAATGGGTTTGACTGGAAACTAAGCACACTTTAGAAGTCTTTGCAAGGCTGAGCACTGCCCAGATCCAGTGCTGCACTGCTGCAGTGGGGGCAGAGCATCCTCTACCTTGATGAGGCTCCAGTCAAACTCATCTAAAACCCCACTCAGCTTTGGAGGGTACTCTTCCCTTCTTCCCAGTTCACGTGCCTCCTTGCACTGTGTGAGCACCTCTGCATGTTGGAGCAGCTCACTGATCCAGATGGAAATGCATGACTTTGTGCGGCAGGGCTCAGTCTTAGAGGGCCCACAAGTGCAGGCAACCCAGCCCACAGCTTTGTGAGCCCTTGTTCTGACACTAGGGAGGTGGCAGGAAGGGGAATGACAAGCACTGAATGTGGTAGGCTGACACGGCCTCCATGCTGTGGGGAAGAGTAGGAGGAAGAAGAGGGGAGACCATCCATTTTGGGACCAGTGCAACAAGGACGTGCAGATGGCATAAACTCTCACCCAGAGCATACGAGGAGGGCACCGCACTGTAAATAAGCTCTGTGTTCTCAGATCCACACAGTGCCAGGACACATCAGCCCTACTCTGTCAATGCTTTGAGTTTACTCCAGCGCAGATTTCATCAGTGCCACTGGATACCTCTTTCTTCTTTCAACAGAAGACACCCAGGTTAACCCAAACCCCCGCAACTTCCATTGAGCAATGCTATCATATTAAAAGAAAACAAACAAATGGAAAAAAAGCTTAGTTCTGGCAGTTTGCATCATAATATGAAGACAGATTTCCAGGCAGCTGTGCGCACAGGGGCTGCAGATCAATTTGGTGTACAAGCCAATGCTGTCAAAGTGGGAGGCAACGGTGTCAAAGCAAATGATGACGGGAGCTGTGCTCACACAAAGGAGCAAATCCTTCCTGGTGTGAGTCCAGGTGCCTCAGAAATGTTCTCAGCCTGTGTATCTTTCCCTCTACTTTGGACCAACTTGTTTTTTTCCTTTCTGTTCCTACAAACCACAACAGGCTCATCCAAAAACCTGTCATCCGCTTTAACAAAAGGGTGAAATAAACATCCCAGCATCATCCTCGGCAACCTGCCACCAAGAAACTGCTGCAAGATATGACAAGATGAATACTGCCTTTAAATGCTATGTGAAGAAGAAATGAATGGCTTTCACTTGGCAGAAATTGCCTAAGTGCCCTGGAGAGCTGATCTGCGGTGTCCCCTGACTGCAGCTGGATAGGGTACCATCATGGCACGGCAGCAATGGTGGCAGGGGTTCATGTCCTCTGATATCTGACTGATATCCTGTGCTCTGCTCTCCCTAGAAAGAAGTGTTCTTCCCTTGTGAGAACCCAAACACAAATCCAAAGGGCTTACTGATCACCCCGAGAGCCCTATCTTAGCCAGCTGTACCAAATCAGGGTGAGTGACTGTTGGGCTGGGCAGGTAGCAGATGTGGGGCTCTCCCAGGTGATGTGGAGACATCATCAGGGCAGCTGCATCTTGTTTTCTTAGACTGCCTATAAAAAAGGCCAATGGGAAAAGCAAGCTCTGTTCTGTTGGTGGTGCTGTGTGGGGGGATTGTTCTCTGCTTACAGGTACGAATGTTTGTTTTCTTACTTCTTTTTCCAGTCTGTAAGTAAATGAGCATTAGGTGTAAGGTGTTTAAATTAGGGTCTTTGATAACTCTGCAGGATATGTGACTGAGGGCTTTTGTGGGGATGCAGCAGCTAGGGTGGGCTGTGCATCAGTCTCCCAGAGCCAGGAGATATCTCTGTTGGGATCCTCTGCAAAGGAGTGAGGTATGTGACAGAATCTGGGTCTGCTCCTGAGCGGTGGTCAGGGCAGTCCAGCAGTGCCCAGCATGCTTCAGCCAGCACAGTCTCTGCCTGGGTTTTTTTTAAAATGAAGCAGTGCAGGTGTTGTCTTGTTGCTGAGCTCTCCACCATGTCAGCCTGCTTAGTTTGATCTGTTGTTGTGCTGATACCTTTATAATGAGTGGCTCCTCCTAAGGGAACAGCGCAGGATATGAAACGCACTGAAATGTTGCCATTTAAAGGTGATGAATTGTTTTCCTTTCTAGTTCACTGCTTTTAAAGCTTCTTACTGGCAAGGACCCATCATTAAGTGCCGAAATGTAGCATACTCCTCTTGGAGAGGCTTGAGTTATTTCAACTCGGTGTCTCTAATCTCAAAAGCACTTCAGAGAAACGTATGAAGGATGTAGTTCTTGTCCCAGAGATATAATCTAAGCATAGATGTAGCATAACAAAAAGATGACATAACAGGAGAAGCTACTGTGGTGTCATACTGGGGTTCTGTGGCCTTTGTTAAGTTTATGAAGATTAGTGATGATGATTCTGTGTGTGCCACTGTGTATCTGTAACCACTGCCTTACTTCTACTTGCTGGAAACTGTTCCATGTGTAACTTAAAGTGTAGGAGTCCTTAGTGATGATTAATTGTCCCAGGGACAAAGAAGAAAATGGACAGCAGCATGGGCTTCCCATGCCCACCTTGTTTTTCCTCTGCCCCTCTCTAGGCCCTCTGAATGCTGCACAGCTGAGTGTACTGAAATGACAGCTCACTCCTCTTGTATGTTCTCAGAATCCTGAGACCCAGTCTCTACCAGTTCATTAGGACGTTAACTGCACTGGGAGGTAGGAATGCTGCTTGGAATATGCAAATCTTTGGCTTTCTCAGTGGTTGTGTTTAGGTTCAGTAGCTCTTATTACCTTGCTTTGTTACAAAAATGCTCTTGTGTGGAGAATGGGGATAATCCCTGGCTATCTTTATGCTAGAGGCTCTGATAATTAATTATTTAATCCTTATAGAGCACTTAGATATTTGGATACCTCTCAGTAGAATCATGTATCACCTTAGCTGTCAAACCACAATAGCACCTTTTCAGCCCTGCTGTCGATGCAGCAAGAGATAGTAAAACATCCCTGCTGCCTGAAAACACTGAGTACCCGACTCTACTTTTATGAAAGTAAACCACAACAGGTTTCAGTACTCGAATGAAATAAAGCTTGAAAGGAGATAAGAAAGAGATAGTGAGGAGATTAATGCTAGGCTTGATGGAAGGCTTCCTGGCTGGTTGTTCTTGCCCAGGAAGTTCTTTTGAGAAGACGATTAGTGGGTTTTATGCACACTGGCAGTGCTTGCTTTTACCCAGTGTCATCCCATGTTCTGTGTGATCTCCTCCCCTCCCACAGGTCTGAATGCTTTGTTTGTGATTGTGTGGACTGGGTTGCCCTTTTTTTTTGGG